GGTACACAGCAGATGAGCCGGCTCAGCATGCAATCTGAAGACATTTTTATTGTCGTGCAGTCAATCTTTCAGTCATGTCCAACTCTTTATGACCCATTTGGGGTTTTCATGGCAGAGATATTGGAGTGGTTTGCCACTTCCTTCTCCCGCTCATTTTACAGATGAGGAACTGAGGCAAACAGGGTGAAGTGACTTGCCCAGGGTCACCTAGCTCGTAAGTATCCGAGGCTAGATTTGAACTCATAAAACGGAGTCTTTCTAATTCCAAGCCCAATGCTCTAAGCACTGTGGGCGCCACCTAGCGGCCCCAAATTTAAATTATATTTGTTGCTGCTCAGTCACGTCCGACTCTTCGTACTGGAACGGTTTGTCATTTCCTTCTCCAGCGCTAAAAACACTGGACACCTGAAACAAACTTAGTAATATGTAACTGACTCAAATGTGATAAATGCATGCAAATGCATGTTACATGGATCTACTCTGCCATCGGGGGGGAGGGGGGATGAAATAGAAAAGGCTAATTTCCCTGGCCCCCTCAACAGAAGCTTACAATCAAGCTACAAAGACAAAATACATTAGGCAACAAGACAAGAACAAAGTGGTGGATTATAGCAGTACATACATAGGAATTTAGAAGGAGAGGAAAAACTTGGCTAGTATAGTTAGGAAAGGAAGGCTTCATGAAGATGAATAGAGTAGGACAGAAAAATTATTCCCTTTTGGCAGATAAGTGGCAATAAATATCAGTTAGATATGAGAGTGAAGAATCTGGCCTGGAGAGACGGCAAGAGGGGGCTCATGGTAGAAAGTAGCAAGAAAAAAAGGCTGCTTGATATGTTAAGATAGGGAGAGATTATGCAGGAAAATTAAAGTGAGGAGCTCGATCTGGAGGTTAAGGTTACAAACGTTCACCTAAAGCTCTGATTTGGGTTTGTTTTTTTTCTCCAGGGCCCCTGTGATCAAGGATTCTGGTCTACCCTTGGAGGACAACAGCAGCAGGAATGGTCGGAAACCCTGAGGACGTTGGATTCCTCCTAGACATCCCGTTCTGCACAGAGAAGCATTACTGACACAACAGCCAGGTCTTAATTAGTGTGAATACAGATCCCATGAAATGATTGCATCCCTTGGGTTCGCACTGCATATTTCCATTGGGCTAGAACCAAAGACACACAATCATTACTTCAAACACTGTGAATATGAGTGCAAGTGATCAGTTCATAGGACTCCTTATGTCCATTAAAGTCAGGACCTTGCCGTGTCTAGTCAAAGAACAGCACAGGATTTTTTTTCAATCCCCAATGGTGGGCTGGAGACGATCTAATCTGAAAACAAATTGCCTCCAGTCACTGTCTCAGAACCTCTCTGATACTCAAACCTGAGACTCCAGGGAATGCTGTTACATTGCCCTTTAATACTCAATTCCTGCTGCTGCCCTGCAGAATTCTCAGAGCCTCTAAAATGTATGATGTACTTGATGTCTCCTTAAAAAAAAAAAGATGGGACAGCTAGGTGGCGCAGCGTATAGAGCACCGGCCCTGAAGTCTAGAGGACCTGAGGTCAAATCCGGCCTCAGACACATAACACTTACTAGCTAACCCCAATTGCCTTTAAAAAAAAAAAAGACAATATATGAAGCCATAAGGACTCACACTACCCATCAGAATTGGAAGCAACCCATGGAATCAAACCTCTTAATTTAAAATTGCGCAATCAGAGGCTAAAGAAAACAACTTGTCCAAAGTCTCACAGGCAGGAAATAATTAGATCTGAATCCAGCAATTCCATTCCAAACTCAGGGCTCTTTCCATTGCACCAGTATAGGTACAATGAGCTTCCTTCCTATCACCTCCAGGCTCGAGTACAGAATGTTGTTTGGCATTCAAAGCTCTTCATAATCCCACTCCTTCCCACAGCTTTCCAGTCTTCTGACACCTTATTCCCTATCACTCTTCCACCCAGGGACACTGGCCTTGTGGCTGTTTCATGAATACAGCACCCCATCTCTCAGCTCCCAGCATCTTCTCCGGCTGGCTCCTTATGCCGGAAACACTCTCCCTCTTCATCTCTGTCTCCTGGCTTCCCAGGCTTCCTTTAAATCCCAAGTAAAATCCCCTCTTCTAAAAGAAGCCTTTCCTCACAGCTCTTAAATCTAGTGCCTTCCCTCTGCTGATTATTTCCAACTGATCCTCAATAGAGCTTATCTGTCCATAGTTGTTTGCCTGTCTCCCCCATTGGACTGAGTTCCTTGATGGCAGGGAGCTTTTCATGGTATTCCCAGTACTTAACCCAGTAAGCATTTACTGACTAATACCATAATCAGATTATTATAAATATCAATTATGTTTTGATCTGTGGAAAAAGCTATGAGAAATCAAAATGTGGAAAGTGTAGAAATCAAAAGAGGATCACAGTCAAGCCTCTGCCATTGGTGATGATTACAGGCACATCTGGGGCCCAGTATCCTTATTATATTTCTTAGGTCTCTTCTACAGTAACATCTAATTCTCCACCACAGGACCCTCAGAGGCTGCTGAAATGTGCGTGGCTCTTCATTTGATCTCACTCTGAATATCCTCCTTGCCTATCCACACACCCTAAAATGCTGACTGAGCTTCTCTCACCCTTTCCTGGCTTAAATATTCTTGTGCTTCTAATCTGCTGCCTTAAAAACCAAAACCAAAACCCACTAGCTTGAGGAGAGCTACCTAAGCCCTCCTACAGCAATAAAATACACAGGCTCTATGAAAGCAATTATCTTCACTGCCCAATGGTCATTTGGGCCAAAGGCAAGGTCTGTGGTTATGTTCCAAGTGATTTAGTGCTGCCCCCTCTAAAATATGACTTCCAATAGAGGAAGCTTCAATTAATGACTAATACAAACAGTCTAATGACTAATACAAACAGTCTCTTAAGAGCTACATTCTTGAAACATGGACCAGAAGGTATATTTAGTGTCAGACTAACCACATGACTTCACCCCCTTTCTGTTGCTTTCCCATACAAATGGACAAGCAAAATTCAGAATAAATGCCTCCCCCACACCCATCTTTCTTCCTGTTTTAAAACAGGAGCCAAATTCCTCTATGGGCCATCTTTAAGCAGACTGGTTTGTCCTTGATACTGCTCCTAGGCTTTAAAGTAGCAACTAGACTGTTGCCACTAAAGGAAAGAGCGGTTATTGAGGGCACACTTCTCAACTACGCCTTTTTCATACCTCTGGAAAGAAAAGCTTTGAGGAGGTCATGAAAACAAAATAGGAGTTTTGTCCTCAAGGCACTTTTTTATCTTTCTAAATATGTGAACATCCAGATTTGTTACTTTATAATTATCAAATAATTATTTTAAGCTACTAATTTGTTCCCTTAAAAATTACTCATTTTATGAAAAGAATCACAACAGCCAGTTCTCCTATTGCATTTAGAACTATTCAATGTCTAGACAATTTTCTTATAAAAAGTTTACTGCATAAATCAAGGGGTCCCTATACAGAGTATCCCAAAAATCTCTGTGCAATTTTAAGCCATTAAAACTTAGACCTGGACGAAGACTTTTGGGACACCATTAAGTTTTAGGGACATCATTACTAAGTTTTTAACAGCTTAAAACTGCAAAGGTTTTTGCAACACACCCTGTTAGTAATAATTTATAGCTTTCCTTCCAAATTTACAATTCTTAAAAAATTATATTTTCACATAGAACACAGGTCTAAATTCATCATAAAAGTCAGTAAGAAAATAGGATTACCTTAATAAATGTATTTGTTTATAAATAAATATTATTTATTTAATAAATTTACCTTAATAAATAAATTACTTCATGTTCCATTCTGCCTAAATATATATCTAATTCTTGAGATTTATATAGGTAGGTTCTTTCTGTGAAGACCAGATTGGACTTCAAATCAAGTCAGAACAACTGCAAAACCCACCCCCTCTGGCACTTAGCTATATGACCTCAGGAAATCAATTAACTTCTCTGATCCTCATTTCCTCATCTATAAAATGGATACAATATCTGCAATTTTAACCTCATAAGGCTGTTGTGAAGAAACAAATCAGATAATTACGTACACCCACTTCATAAAACTTACGAGCTCTTCAAATGTCCACTGTTATTTCTACTAAATTAAAAGATTCAAAAGATATTTATTGTCTAAAGCAGTAAACTGAAGTCATTCATTGCAGGAAGAGAGGAAGAACATAAGCTGTCTTCTGCCTCCAATGAGGCAACTGCACAAGAGATTCTGATTGAACTTTTCCAAAATTTTCACAAATTCCCACACATTCTCCAAGCTATTCTTTTGTAAATCCTACCTAAAATAAATTACTATCTAAATGGTCATTTGGTACTCTAAGAATATTAATTATATCAGTATTTGTATAATAATTGCAACTAAGTCTTGTAAACTCTTACATTTATTCTTTGTTTTTCCTCTCCCAATTTAAACACATATCCTTTAATGAAGTTCCTCCATGCTTTTCTGTATCTTGTATTTTTCAGCTTTAATAGAACTAAAGGAATTAAGCTTTAATTAGGCATTCATTAAGGTGCCTAAAACTGATTTTCATGGTCAAAAATTACAAAAATTCATCTCCCTTACTCACTTCCTAAGTTAATTCCCTAATTCTTCTTTTCTGAAAGGCAATTGTTTTTAATTGCTTTATTTTATGACTCCTTTTTTTAGCATGTTAATAGTTCGTAATATTTCAAAAACAAAGGCAAAAACTGGTTTTCTACCCTGAATGCTGCAATTATTGTCAAAACATCTGGAAACAGTTGTCATGAACTACCTTACCAAGCCTGGTACCAAAAGTCTGAAGTATTTTAACCATTTTATAACATAAAAGGCAATGTGCAGAAGGTTAATAGGGACTGACCTATTCTTGTGTGTAAACGTCTGTCTAAGTGTGACTTTTTCCATAGCTGGTTTTCACCCCATTTAATTGGTTCTTGGAAAAGGTGGCTTTCGCCACTGGCCAACGGGTGCCACGCCTCACCTTGTTTTCCTCTTGCAGCTGGTTGCCTCTCTCCTTTTCACTGCTAAGCTCCTTTTCCAGTCTTCCAACCTCTTCTCTGAGCTGCAAAGTCTCCTTCTCCAGGACACTAGTCACCTTTAGCAGCTCTTCTTTTTCTTTCATTGTTTTCTCAATTTTGAACTACAAAACAAAGAAATCTTATGTCAATTAACATTTTTAAGATTTTAAAAGCAAGCTTGTTTTCTGAAGTTTCTTGTTCTGCTACAATAAGTGAACAGAGAGCTACTACAGATCACAATCTCTACATTCTTTATGCCAAAAAAACCTCTACCAACCCTCACTTGGAAAAATCCTTTCATAATCCCAATATTAAACAGGAAAAAAAATTCTTGGCATTAGCAAGAAATATTAGCAAGAAATATTAATAATAGCTATATATATACTCGAGGAAATAAGCCATCAGGCTACAGCTTAAACACCAAGAAAGAACATTTCAAGCAAAACAACGTGATTATGGTAGATTTAATTCTAACAGACAATCATTACTGAAACTTCTATTTGCCAGACACCCCCATGCTAACCCTAATCTGAACTCTGACTCTAAATTCCAAAACAAAAGCGCCATGGCCCTTAAGGATATTCAATGCTACTGCAAGGATGCCACAGGCTCCCTCCTCCCAGTGAGGAAAGGCTATCTACCAGCGCAAAGAGCACCTGCTCTGCTACCTGACTTTCTTAGAGAGCTGCCCAACACCAAGATGAAATCAACTCAGGTCTGTCTGATTCTCACCACAACGTCTCCCAAGTTATCGTCCCCTTGATCTCAGCCTAAGAGACATCTGTCAAAACGGTGAACACTGACTAGGATCCCCACTTGTGCCCTAGCAATGGAAAGGCTTTCATATACATTATCCTACTTGATCATCACAACTACCTTAAAAGGTAGAAAGTACATATATTAGCATTTTTTTACAAATGAGGAAACTACAGCTCAAGGATCATCATACCACCCAGCCACACTCAGGGCTGCTGTAGGAATCAAATGCCAGTCAACATAGCAACTACCCTTTGAAAGCCACACTGCACTAGACACAGAGGGGCTGCATGGCCCAGTGAAGGGAGCATTGGCTCTCAAAGTAGAGTACCTGGGTGGGTATCCCGCCTCTGCTTCATATCTGCGTCCTCGGGCAAGTCAACTGATTTTCCTGGACCTTGGCTTCTTCATCTAAAAAGCTGGACTACATGAACTAGATCCAGGATCCCAGGATCTCCACACTAAGCACTGGACAATCAACAATTTATGCAGTGATCTGTTTGGGCTTCAGGCCCAGTTCCACTGCAGACTAGAAATATCTGTCAAGCATTTCTAAGTAACAAGAACTTCAGAAAAAAACAAGAGCACATAATGGGAATCTCATGGACACCATCTAGCAAACCTAAATCGATCTTATTCCTGACTCCTGCATACCTCTTCTCTTACACCCTGCCAGGCACGTAACCAAAGGGAACACACTTCTCACTTCCTTCTGCCATTTCCAGACCCTCCCACCATCATTACTCAGCAACCTCTCTCTTCTCTTAGGAAGCTCATGCTACCTACTGTCATCATCCTTCTCTGGATCCTTACAGCTGTCACCTAACAAGACAAAGAACAAGCTGGTCCACTAAAAGTTCTGGGTCTTACTACCATAAAGCAAGCCCTTCCTCATCACTGAGCAGCTGTCACACTACCCAAAATGAAGGCATTCATATTGACAGCCCTCAACTCCACTCCATCCTCCTTATCTTAGCAGATAGCCTGACTTTCTCTTTTACAAAAATAAAGGTCATCTATTCTGAGCTCCTTCATCTCCTTTACTTCAATACCTCAAAACATCCCTTTATCTTTGTTGTCCCCCTTCAAGCTATATTCCTATACTTTTGTCAAAGGCATCTATACAGCTTTTGCAGAAGCAAAACCAATACAGCCAAAATTAGAAGGAAAGCAGAAAATGGGGAGAAAACTTTTCAGCAAGTTTCTCTGATAAAGACCTCATCTCTCAAATAGATAGGGAACTAAGTCGAATTTATAATAATGTCATTCCCCAAGTGAAACACAGTCAAAGGATATGAACCGGAAGTTTTCAGATAAAGAAATTAAAACTATATTGCAATCCTATGAAAAAATGCTCCAAATCACTATTGATTAGAGAAATGCAAATTAAAACAACTCTGAGGTACTACCTCATACCTATCAGAGCAGCTAAGACGATAGAAAATGAAAAATGACAAATGTGGGAGGGCATGCGGGAAAAATGGGACATTAATGCACTGTTGGTAGAATTGTGAACTAATTCAATCATTCTGGAGATGAATTTGAAACTATACCCAAAAGGCTATAGTATAGTACAGTACGTGTGTGTACGTGTGTGTATGTGTATGTATGTGTATGCGCGTGTGTGTGTATGTGTGTGTATATTTATCCATATATATAATATATAAATATAAATATATAATATGTATGTATATGTATAGCCACTATCCCTTTGACCCAGAAATGCTAGGTTTGTATCCCAAAGAGATTTTAAAATAAAAAAGGAAAAAGACCCATCTAAACAAAATTATTTAGAGCAGCTCTTTTGTTGTGGCAAAAAATTTGAAAATTACAGGGATATGCATCAATTGGGGAACGACTGAAGAACCTATGGTATTTGATTGTCATGGAATACTATGTTACATGAGAAATGATGAGCAGACAGATTTCAGAAAAACTTGGAAAGACTTACATGAATGGACGCAAAGTGAAGTGAGCAGGAGAACAATGTACAAATGAACGGCAATACTGTCTAATAATCAACTGTGAATGACTTAGTTATGCCCAGCAATACAAAGATCCTAGACAATTCTGAAGGACCTATGATGAAAAATGCTATCGCCTCAAAAGAAGGAACAAATGGAATCTGAATGAAAATCAAAGCATAGTTTTACTTTATTTTTCTTAGGGTTTTTTGTCTGTTTTCTTTCACAACATGACTAATATGGAAATATGTTTTGCATGACTGCACACGTATAACTTTTATCAAAATGCTTGCCTTCTCAATGACGGGGGAGGAAACGGAGGGTGAGAGAGAATTTGGAACTCAAAATTATAAAAACAAAAGGTTAAAAATCTGTTTTTCCATGCAATTTGGAAAAAATAAAACTGTTGAAGTTCAAAGGAATCTATGCTCATAGCCACTTTTTCCTCATCTAATGACTCCCTTGGAATACAGAATGTGGCTTCTGACCCAATCCCTTCTCTGAAACTGCTTTTTTGGAGTTCTTACTGAGCTTTTAATTGCTTATTGCTATGGCCTGAGCTTTCTTCAGCTTTCCAAATCAATGACAATCTCCTCATCCTGGAATCTCTCTCCTCTGGCTTCCAAAACATTGCTCTCTACTGATTCTGCTCCTGTCTGGATGCTCACTCTTCCCTCAGTCTCCCTAAGGGAGGCTCACCATCAAGCTTGGTATCTAAGTCTAGGCTTAGTCATGTTTTTCTCTCTTCTTCTCTATGAATTCTCACACACACACACACACACACACACACACACAAATTCTGTATGGTCTCCACATTCTTATTGTGAACGTGTTTAACAATGGCTAAAAATGTAGCAAATTAGCAGGCACCACAAAATTTATCTTAGCCCGAAGGAGAGACCTTTCAACCTTGACTTCTAACTTTTTCTCTCCCAGTTAAAAACAAAACCGTCTTTTCTTGCAAAAGACCTCCCTCCCACAAGTTTGAAACTAAAGCAGGGCTCGTGAGAGTCTACATTCACATCCTTGTTCAAATTACAGAAGTCAGAGAGACGAGTCTTAAGCTTGGGCACTTATTCTTAGAGTGGTGTTAGTGACCCAAACTAAGGGTTATCATCTGTTCCTTACCAATGTGGTCCCCTCTTCAGAGTATTCATTTGGTCTGATGAAAAAGACAGAAGGGCTGCTTGGAAATTTATTCATTTGTTTAACCCACACAGGAAGAGAAATGTCAGAGTGTACATAAATTGACATTTACCACACGGGAAAAATGTGTATGATCTTTAAATACTGGAAAATCATTACTACAGAATTTGTCTTTCCTACCTCCACATTAGGGATCCATTTTTGTCAATACTATGACATATCCCCAGCAAGCAAATTTAAGAGTAGCCTCCACCTGCACAGGAAAAACTCCAGCAAATCTCAGCAAGAATCTCTTCATCTTATTTATAAATTAATCAGCAAGCACTCCAGTGAAGTAAAAGCAGCAGCAGTCTGGAAGCCAACAGACTGCTTTCTAGCCCCAGCTCCACTCAGGGGCAGCTTGGTGGTGCAGCAGATAGCACACAGCAGCCACAGTCAGGAAGAACTGAATTCAAATCCAGCCTCAGACACTTAAGACAGTACAGCTGTGTGACCCTGAGCAAGTCACTTTACTTCTACTTGCCTCACTTTCCTTATCTACAAAACAGGAATAATACTAGCGGGATTGTGGGGAGGGTTAAATGACTGCAAAGTGTTTAGTACAGCGCCTGGCACATAGTGATCACTATGTAGAATGTTAGCTATCAGCAGCAGTGAGGGGACTTTGCCTGAGTTACTTTAGACATATGGGAGTGTACAATCACTTATGTACAGACTGTATGCCCTCTACAATCCCTTTCAGCTCTATATACTCTCTCGTATATTATGTTAAGAGATCTTTTATGAAATCATAGAACTTCCAGATCCTATAACCATCTGTTACATTGACATTTAAGCACCTACTGCGTGCCAGACATTGGGCTAAGTGCTAGGGATGCAAAAAGAAAGACAGGTCCTGTCCTCAAGGAGATCACAATCTCACGGGGGAAGACAATACACAAGAAGCAGGAGGAGGCGCGCTTCCAAAGTCCTGAACAGGGCCTGGAAAAGGCAGGCAGGCAGGCTGCCTTGGGCTCTGTGCCAAATGCTCCAGGAGGAACCCACCAATAGGAGAAAAGGGGAAGGGTAGGCATTGTGGGGGAATGTTTCAGAGTAAAAAGACCACAGGAAGTGCAGCTTTTCAGGCCTTAGAAATCATCTCTTCCAATGTTCCCATTTATAAAATGGGAAATGATGTGGGAAATGAGGCAGCTAGGTGACGGGTAAAATTATTTGTCTATGGTCACATACTAAGCGGTCTCTGGACTCCAAACCCA